TGTTTAAAGTAAACTACAAGTATTTACTCGCAAGACCTTTGGAGGATACTGTCCCCGCTGGCACGATCAGTGCTTCTTTGTCAGCACTCTTGATCCTGTGATGCAGCATATGTGGATCGCACTGCAAGGCGCCTGTTCCATAGGATTCGCGAGCACATCCAGTAGTTTTGCACCTGTAGTACGGTCACACAGGCTCTTAAAACAATTTCAGATTCGTCCCCGTCGTCCCTGGGCGATTCTCGTGCGGATTCCGGTAACATATCCTAGCTATTGTTGAAGCTATCTATATTCGCCATCTCAAACCGGAATTGTGGGTACAAAAGCAATTTGTACACCCCATACAGCTACCGTGGCCTACGGCTGGCATGCCTAACAACCTCCTCGTGGTGCCAGCTGCGTGGTTCGGGATTATCCCGTTCCAGCAAATCGTTCGACCGCAGTGTTCCAGGACGTAGTGGGTTTTCGCCTGGCAAGCGATCTCCTTAAAAACGCCACATATGTCCGTTTAACAACACTGTGACGTGGCGGATTTGACTCCCCACTAAATGAAATCACTGCCCGTCGCTTCATACTGCCGAAGCATTGTATTCCAACAACTCGATGCTGAAATTGTGGAAAGCATTGGGCCCTTGTTTGACAAACGAACAAACGAAAGGCGTATGAACTGGACAATCCGTCACCGGCTCCTAATGGGGAAGATTCTCTGCATCCGCTGCGCTGCTTTGCAGGCAGGCCATTCGGCCAAAAACTCGGGGTGGTGTCCCCTAAGTCAACATTCTACTTCGGCCTGGACAACCAGATAGTACCTCGCCCTCTGACGAAACCAGGGACTCCTCCATGTAGTGTTTTTCATGATATCTTTACCGTCCTTTGAGTTCCATGGTTTTTGATAGCTCCATGCCTATTCGTATGCTGATGCATATATATATATATATATATATATATATATATATATATATATATTTGCCTGTCACTGTGGCAAGCCACAGGACGTCTGCGCTTACAGAGGGACCATGGGTGGCCTGCGCTGCACCACCCACAGCTCCAACCACATACCCCATATCCAGTATGAACCCGAAGGAATAAGACCGGGAGGAATGCGGATGGGAGCCACGTTTCATCAACGGAGCCGGCCCACACTCCTTCACAGGCAAACACAAGCTGTATTTGGGAATCAAGCGCACACAAGGCGGTGGCTGGACCGTAGTCCGCTCCACACTGAGTGCATGGAACCACTCTTTGATCATCGTGAACGCTCCCGAATCTAACAAGGAAATGCCAGTCGAGAGGACTGTGGATGATCTTTTTTCCTAAAGCAGGTGATTACTTTCGAAGGGGACAAAGGGGAACAGAGGGTCAATGTCATCTCTGCGTTCCACCTTGATCGAAAGCAAGAGGACACTTCTAAGGTGCGTACGCTGAAAATTGTTTGTCAATATGAAGAGGAATGTCTTCGCATCCTCAGGCGGACTTCGCACCCTAAGGGCAAAACATTCCATGTATTGCGGGATCTCTGCCCTGAGGACCGGATGGGGATGAAGAACGCTGTTGATGAAATGCGGACTGGCCGAGCAAATCGTGAAACTAAGCTTCGTATTGTGGATTTTCGTGTATGTAGTTCAATGGACTCCGAAAGCTCGATGGCAGTCAGTCCTTGTCGCACCGGCGCTCTAAGTGTGGATTGCGTGTGATGTTCGCTAATGTGCAAAGATTGCGGAATAAATTGGGTGAGATTTTTCTCCTTACTTTAAAATGTCATCCTAATCTGATGGATTTTACTGAGACGTGGCTGTCCCCGGATATTCTAGATTTTGAAATACGCCTTCCTGGTTACCAGTCTTCTCGGGCTGATCGTCTTGGTGGTGGCGTCATACTCTCCTGGGAGTCCGAGCTGAGGGTTCATACCGGAGAGGCCGTCTGTAATCGTTGGTGGTTGGGAGATACGTTGATGTCGTGTCGACGATGGACAGAATTCGCTAATGGTTTGTGTTGTCTACAGACCTCCAATGGCCTCCGGATCCCAAGTGTTGGACTCAATCAAAATGCACGACAGGGGCAAGGATTGTTTAATAATGGGAGATTTCAATGTCTCCAGCGCTAACTGGGATTTACTTCACTATGATTTCGCCCCAGAATCCTTCAATGTTATTTTACTGGAAACTGTCCTCGATGTGGGTCTAATTCAATATGTCTCGTCACCTACTCGGATAACTCTGGGCCAAACGCCGCACATACTCGACTTCGTGTTCACGCCCCAACCACCCGATGTAGTTGATTTAGTGATTCTCTATCCACTTGGGTCAAGTGATCATTGTGTGCTTTCCTACCTATGGACAAGAGGACCCACCCTTCACTACCGGGACATACCTCGCCGGAACTACTGGCGCGCCGATCCACTCCGCTTACAAATGGCTGAAGGTACAATTGATTGGAGTACCCCCAGAAGTTGGATCTCGATACCGCTTGGGACCTCTTTCGCTTAAAATTGCTTTCTACTGTCGACGAAGTTGTACCAATTATTGCTGACAAACTCTCTATAGACCCTCCTTAGATTGATAGAGAGCTGAGAACTCTCTTGCATAGAAGACAGACTGTGGGACAGATTCCAGCTCTCACGGTTGGCGTCTGACTATTGTGATTACAAAGTGCTCAGGAATTAGTGTACACTTGAAAAACTCGAGAAGCTGGAACGATATGAAGGTCGCCTGACTGGGCAATCTTGTAGTGACTCGAAAAAGCTCTTCTCTTACTTGGAAAGAAGTACTAAGGCGGGTTGTGGCGTACCTGCCTTGTATTCGCGAAATGATGAAGCTATACTTCATGACGAAGCGAAAGCCTGTCATTTTGCTTCGCAATATTCATCAGTGCACTATGTGGCCATGCATTCCACGCCCAATCACGGACATGGTGCTAAGAATCGAGTTAGACCCGAACTCTTCGCCAGGTCCTAATGAATTACACCCCTGTTCCTGAGGACAATGGCTGAGTATATCGCCGAGCCAATCTACAAATTGTTTCGGCACTCCCTGGAGGCGGGCAGCCTTCTGCTTGATTGGAAAGTAGGTATTGTGAAACCAATCCACAACGGAGGACCCCGAGAGGATCCTGCGAATTACAGACCGATTGGCCTCACGTCGATCATTTGTAAAGCAATGGAAAGGATTTTAAAAGAGCCCTTCAGCTTCATCTCGAGGTTTTGGACTCATTATTCATGCTCAGCACGGTTTCCAGAGGGTACGTTCTTGTATTACTAACCTACTTGTTGCCCGCGAAAAGTGGGCGAAGTCAGTGGATTCCGGTGTTTTCGTTGATTTCAGCAAAACACTTGATAGGATTCCACATGAACGGCTCTTTATCAAGCTTGGGAAGATTGGCATCGCTGACAATGTTCTCTCCTGAATCGCGGATTTCCTGGATGGTCGTACTGTGAGAGTGAAGATCAATGAGGTTCCTTCTGAGCCTGTCCTCATGACTACTGGGGTTCTACAAGATTCCATTCTTAGTCCCGAATTTTTCAAAAGCTTCATCAACGACCTTCCAGAGATACTCCAAAATGACTGTTTGATCTACGCTGATAACCTCATACTATGGTCAGAAGTATGGCTTGAAGATACGGACAAATTACAACTAACACTTGATCTGCTGCACGACTGGTCTGTGAAGTGACAGTTACCTCTCAACCATGACACATACTGCGTTCTTCCGATCGGTTCCCCAGAACTGATCGGCGGCTACGACATTGGTAGTTCCCTGCTACGCAATGCGGCTTTTGATAAGCATCTGGGTGTGATTGTATCCCCTAAGTTGAGAAGCACCCGGCTACGTTGCGGAAAGTCGCATTTACCAACAGGGTACTCTGTGCCATACTTAGGTCATTTTCTAAAATGACGCCTGAGATCTACAAGCTCCTGTTTCCTACCCACGTTCGTCTGATATTGGAATATGGACTACCCGCTTTGCATGCTCTCACAGTTTGAGTGCGGTTTGATCGAGAAGGTTCAGCGGCGTGGATCCAAGTTCGTATCAATGCTGTGTCATTTGTCTTATCCCCTTCGAATTCAGCGAATGAACCTGGTCTCTTTGGGCTAAAAGGAGACTTGGGGACGGACGTGCAAACATTCTTCCAACTCGATGTAGATAACTCGACACGGGATCATAGTTGGAAACTGTTTAAACCGCGGAGGTTTCACGTCCGCTCTGACGTCACCTTATTTACCCGGGTCGTGAATCAATAGAACAACGTCCCGGAATCTGTTGTCAGTGCCCATTCAGAGGAATGTTTTACGCAGCCGTTGGATAACTACATGCTGAGAACGCCTGGATTCCACTGTTTTTCTATGGCTGTGCTGATCTCTTGGTGAACACAGGTTAGCAAGGATGCGTCATGCAGACAGTGAATGGGTGGTGAAGGAGTTGACACGGGTCTTTTACCTTCTGCTCTCTACAAAACTGTGAAGCTATCAATGCAGTCTAACAGTCCCAAAGAATACCAGACGAAAAGATTGGATAACGGTCTCAGCCGCAGGAGTCACGGAGCGAGGATCTAAGAGGTCAGTTTCAAAGATCAAATGTTCGTCCACCAGTCAGAAAACGGACTGCTCAAACAGCTAATGACAATGACTACGGAATTCCCAAACGCATTGCTCCGCTTCTCTACCCATCGACGCACTGATGAGGTTAGCTCGGTTTTTCTCTCTGTCGCACAACCAGCAACAATCACGCGTGGGCCACTGTTACTGCGAGGGTCTCCCGGTCCCTTACGCAGGCTCTAATTCGCGTCCTCTGAAAATAAGGGGACTTGTGATCCTTTAGGCTACGGACATGAGGTTACCTCGATTGGTGATGAAACGTTCGCAATGAATTGCAAAGTTCAACGAACCGTTCGACTATTAATGATCAGATCATTGGTCAGTTCAACGTCCAGATTAATCGATACCACAGAAAATAAGGAACGCGCGCATCACCTTAATGTGCCACCAAAACACATTCAACCAACTTACAGGAAATTCCCAGCAACAACTTTCTGAGGCAATCCAAGTCAGAGGTATCAGGAAGACAAAGAATGAGCCGCTGAAGAACATTATGTTCGAGACATAACTTCTGAGCTTCCGGGTTATTTTGAGTCAAATTAGAAAGCAACTGATAAGCATGTGGTCTCACAAGTGACGGGCCAGTAAATAGTAGCTTCAATAACAACTCAGTACCGTCCATTTTGAAGAAATCATTCGCCAGATCCAAATCTTCTGTTAAGGAAAGTATATCTTGTAAGGTAGATAGAATTTCTGTTTCGTTTGCGTCTGGAATAGAGCAGAGTTCAGAGAGCGTTTCGATATGTTCTTTCAATTGCTTTGATAAGTCCACTGAAGCAGTTGCCAAAAATTCTGACAACCACCGAGCTTTCTTGTGAGGATAGTTGTAATAATTCCATTATGCGTACCTCAGGGTCTATAGTCGACTCCGTAGTCCCATCTGAATTTTCCAAGGCGAAACGCAAAAGATTCTTTAGATCGCGAGACATTGCACTATGGAAAATGAAACAGCGGGAAAAATTAGTGTGCTACATCACAAACGAAGCTAATTTGAAGTATAGAAAACACTTGGAGATCACCAAGTCAGCACCGTGGGGGGGGGGCAGTCAGACGCCAAATTGGTTTATCGGATCATAGAGGAAAAATGAAGATGTGTCGTCAGCTTCTACATTTCCAGAATGACTTACCGAACAATCTCCTCGTGGTGTCAACCGGGTGATCAACATTATCATTTCATATATTACCCAGAATTGAAAAACACCTGTTATTGTGTTGCGATACAATTCAACAAGATATTCAAAAAAGAGTAAAATAATAGCTGGGACAAAATACAAAAACGGAGTAAGAAATAGCATACTTTGTCTTCATTATATAGCCAAGATGATGTAGTGGTTGGAGAAGGTTAAGCGAGAATCACACAAAAAGCACAAGTAAAAGGAAGCTCAGACCGACTTTCGGCCATGACAAGTGTCGCCAACCAAACGCATTCATCGCTTTTGGGACCGCAATTCGAGAGTTAAGAGGCACCAACTAAAGCCAACTTCGAAATGAATCTTCACTCCTCTTGACCAACCCCCCATTTGGTTTCTCTCCTTCTCCTCCCTCCAACACCATTCCGGTCGCACAAACAACGTATGTCGCAAGAGTCGGTATGCTTATATGCGTCATCGCTGTCTGGTGCGTGGAAAGGCGGTTCGAGTGGTACACTTGCCCGTTAGGCAGTTTATTGCTCCTGTGGTGTTCCACTGGATATCAGTCAAACTGCGGAGGCACCGGTGGTAGAACACAGAATAACCCCACTGAATTCAATCTCTGAAACCGTCTGTGAAGACGAAGAACGCTAACACACACAAAAACCCATGCCTCAAGGAAGAAATTCTTTGTGTTCTGGACCTTAACGCGGTGCGATGGTTTGCCTACCTCAGCGATCTATTGGGCTATACTGGGTGGTGCTTTTGCATATTCAGAGACACTCATACCAGATTGGTCAATGGTTAGAGGCCCGACAACCTCAGTCCCCTGGTCCTGTAGCATGAGGGTGTGTGGGTGCCTCCTTATTCCTTAAAACGGACGCTATGTAGCCCAGTTCCAAAACCACTGCCTTGCAGTTAGGTTTTTGAACCAAACATCTTGGATCATAACCCTAATCGTTCTCCTGTTTGGCCTAGGAAATCTACAGTATACTACGCACGCAACACAACACGAACGTTTCTCCACACGGTTTCTTGATGTTCTGGCCTTCGCAAATGATAATAAACAGCGTCATAGCTGATGCATCGAGCAAGGTGGATAGGGGTAAGGATGATACTGCTCTAGCCTTCCCATCTTATAAAACCACTATTAGCAATTTCTCATCCATCGCATCCCGCTCAAACTTCACTTTTATCCCCTGTTTTCAACCCTCACATTCGTGACCCTGCCCCACTTTGGTTTAGCTTCTAATTTAGACCCACACGCAATCGCCCCGGTCCAGTCGACAAGTTCACGTCCACCCAAACAGACAACGTTAGTTCATCTGCTTCCATTTGGAGCACTCGATCCTTCCTAAGACTGACACGCCTCAATGTGCGCTCCGTGTTGCAAACTGGCCAACAGGCAGCAATCGTATGAACACTGCAGAACCTATCAATCGATACCTGTCGTCTATCAGTAACTCACTCGCAAGATTCGAGTTCTGTGATTATCCTACGACCCCCAACTTACGACAATGGCCGTTTTTATCATTGCGCTTGCCCGAAGATGAAGCGACTTCCAATGCCAATCAAACCAGTGTGGGCAATGCTCTTAACGCCCGGGATGATGTTGCCCTGATTGACTGGATTCCAACGAACAGCCGAAGGTGCGCTATCAGACTGGCTAGCTCGTCCGAAACTTTGAAATTACAGGGGGACTACGGTGCGAGTTTGACATTGCGGTATACGCGCCCATAAATTGTAGCGTTGACTCGGTGAAAGACAACATCTATCACAAACTAAGCGTGCTCCGTCAAAGAACAAGTACTTATACTGTGGTGCATGCTGCTGATTTGAACGCCCAAGTTGGAAAACTGTCCATACATGAACTTCATTTGGGCGGTCAGCATGGTGTAGGCTCTCATAATGATAACTGCGAGCGCTCGCTAGACCTATGTGAAGATGCTCGCCACTTTCTTGCGAGAAGTAACTTCCGACACAGCCCGCGTAGAAGGGGGAGTTGGCACCCACCAAGCTCGGACCAGCCATGGACGCAAAGTGATCACACCGCGGTTCAGTTACCGCTAGAGAAGATGTGTTCGTAATTGCCACTGGATTTGGAGCACAAGCGCAAACTGATCATTCACTTATTTTTGCCGACCTGTGGGTGCGTTTCGGCGGACGTCCGCAAAAGCGCTGAGTGCATAGATATTAGCCAACTGGCAAAGCAAGATGTTTTGAATGCGTATCAAAGTACGCTGGCATCGGACCTGAATGAACGCTCACTGAACACAGCTGAAGATTATTGTTCGCATATATGCCAGACGTTATTGGCAGCATGCATGTCGAAACTAATTGCCAACCTAGACATTGGATCTTCAAGCAGTCTGTGGAACTTACGGATGGTCGCTGATGTGTTCCGGATGAAATCGAATACCATAGGACTCGCAAAGTTATCAAGATGAAAGTAGGTGCCAGCCTGAAAAGAAACCGCGAAGCCTGGCAGTCTCATCGTGCTTTGGAGATGGAGACAACCGCTGCCTTTGGTAAGCATCGTAAGTTATTCCGTCTGAGACGAGAAAAAAGTAGCAGGAAACCTGATGTTGGCGAGGCCATCTGCAGTGAGAGGAGGCATCCGATTCACAGCTTGTCAAAGCGCTTAGAGCATTGGGCCGAACACTGAGAATTAGTTCAATCAGCCAGAGTTGCTAGCTTCTGCATCGGTCATTGAGCGCGCTGCTCCCTAGGCTGTCCAGTTAGATCTGCCATCAGACACAGAAATCGAACGTGAGAACAGATGACTGAAGATGAAAAAGACACCCGGAACAGATGGACTTCATCCAGCCCACTTCAAATTTGAGGAACCTACAGGATTTACTTAAGCCGCTAGTGAATATATGAGAGCAAGAGTTTGTCCCAACAGACTAGAGCCGATCCGATATAGTCCCAATTTTCAAATGACGCTCCTATCCGAATGCGGCAGTCATAGAGGAATCAGTGATCGCCATTTCCTCAAAGTCACTTGCGTCTATCGTCCTCCATAGCCTGACTGGCACCCGTGAAAGCCAGATGCGCAAGGAGCAAGCCGGATTTCATCGGCCGGTGGCCGAGTGGTCGGCACGTTTGCTTTCCAACCATAAGGTCACCGGTTCGAATCCGCATAGGGGTGAGCGTCCTCGCGGTATACTCAGCCCGCACGCGACTGGTGGTGGTCGCGCCGCAGCGAAGCGCCGTTACGGCGTATAAGCTGACACATTTCATTTCAGTGAACACATTGCGTCAGTTATTGGAGCACCGCCATGTTTACTGGCTACCCATCATAGTCGCGTTCCTAGACATTAAAGCGGACCTATGCTTCTAATATCGATGTGACCTTTGGGACTGTCTACTGAGGAACCGTGTGCCCGAAAAATATGGAAATGTCATAAGAGCACTATACGCGAATAGTTTTGGCAGAGTGAGGGCTTACCGCAAACCTTCAACGTCCTTCAATATCTAAAGCGGCCTGAAACAAGCAAGACCGCTGTCACCTTTATACCATAACTTCGCCAGTACCCATTGCCTAACCCTCCAACCAGGTTCTCACTACTTAGCCTTATATATTTTTGCATAGTAAATGTTTTGCTGCATATTAGCCGGCTGGTAGCTTACCGGAATGATGTCCATCCGTTACCGTTAGCTCAGCTGGCTTGCATCTGTTTCACTTCTTTCTTTATATATTGCGGCACAGTAGCTGAGGTACTTCCCACATCTAGCTAACATGTTTAATGATGATAATAAATGCTCTTGATGCTTAGTTCTCTACATTTTCTCTGCTCTGATCTATATCATCTCGTCGGACTTTCTCGACCTTTCTTCTGACGTCTTCAAACCTCACCCATTTATGGCCATCTATCTGGATGACAACGCGCCGCTTTCGTTTCTTCCGAGGTATTCTTTAACGGGCTCACCGCCGTATACATTGTACGTTAGGTTCTTTTGTTACCTCCTTCGGCCTCCTTTCCTTAGAGCATGAATTCATCAAGACTGCTCCTGTGATGCTCTCCTGGCGATTCTTTTCATACGTAAGTAGAAGATCTCTTCCATTCTCTATCGATACCGGGTCTGCTTGCTTCTCCTTGCGTCCAATTTCTTTTTATGTAACACGTACATGAGGTATTTAATTAATAATGTTACATTTTATATGTGGTTCATTAGTTCAAACACTTGTACGTGATCATAGTTAAAAGTCGATGCAAGCGAAAATGTTTTCAATAATTCCTCTTCAGACTTGTATAGTTATATGTGGAAAAAACAAAATGGTTGACACAACGAAAGGATTGGTAAGATAATTTCGGTTCACAATCATTGATCAGGCACAATCACTCTCCGTTACGTCACAAGTGCGGTGTACACACCATTCCGTGAGCAGGATGTCGCCGTCCACGTGGACCAAGGCAATTTCAACGTCTGAACGAATCGTGTTTGAACACGCAACTCCGGCTCGTACAGTCTAAGCGCGATGGCCTCCGCGGATTTAAGCAAATGCCCACGTACGCACTTTGTTTGGTTGTCTAATATCTAGTAGATCATCTAGTAAGACAGCCAGGTTGGAGGCGTGGCCAGTGTCAGCGAGATGCGTGGCTATGGATGAGTTGGTTTGCTTTCGACAGGCAGTCATGAGCCAGGCCGGATGATGTTCTTTCGCCTCTTCAGAGATGCGCCTCATCGTTCGGCCGATGTATCCTGCCCCATAGGAACGGTAGAACGAATAAACACATCCTGATTTGGCGTGGATGGGCCTATTGCCTCTAGGGCTATTTATAACCATTGGGATACCGAAGAAC